AATAGGTAAAACTGAAGTTCTTTGCACATATTTGCCTCATTATTTGTTCATTTATATATAGTATTCCTAATTCCAGAAAAGAGCAGCTGACATTTTTCTCCAAATAAATTTTCTTTTGGGGCCAGGGATTTAGCTCAGTAGTTCCACTGCCTGCCTCACAAGCACAAGGTTCCGAGTTCGATCCTTGGTACCAAAAAAAACCACACCAAAACTAAATTTTCTTTTACAAGGATCCAGGAACTGTTCTCTAATCACGAGAGTTGAATTGTGGAATAATGCTGCTGTGTTATTGAATATGTTACTCTATCTGCATGAATACCATTCACTATCTCTTTTGAATTCTTAATCACTGTTTAGGAGGCCCTTACTAGTGAAGTTCCTTCTGGGAGCTGAGGTGGTTGGTTCATTGTCCTTGAAGAAAAATCAGATCAAAAGCCATTAGAAAGTGGACAGAATTAATGACATCAACTACATGAACTGTGAGTTGTATATCAGAGCTCTTTGTCTATTTGCCCCAGTTGTCTCCTCTCATCTCAGGTATTTGGACAGGTTAAGCCTTCAAGGCAGGCTGTGTAAGTTTGTCCCTCCTTGATACCAGAGAATCTCGGTAATATCTTTCTGGTTATATCTAACACATTGAATCGTAGGTATTTGCCAGTCTCCCACATGAGAGGACTCCATGAGGTTAAGGACTGGCTCACTCTCTTTATGTGCCTACCACATTGCCGTGCTCAGCAAACGTTACTGAATGAAGGGACAAAAATAGATACTATTTAAAATTGAATGAGGCTATACTGACAGAATTCACTTCATCTTGAAATTTCATTGGCCTCTTCTTTTGATGTAGTTGTGATCACTTTCTACATGCAAAAAAAGCTCAAAGGGCAGTGGACAGATAAATTTTAAAAACAACCACCTACCTCCCAAAACACTAATGGCACATATGAGCAGTGGGAAATTTTGCTTTGTTACAAGGTAATCAGGTGGATTTCCGCAAAGTAAATCAGATTTGGAACTGTCTCCTTGTGACCAAAAGGAAGTATTCATTTTTTTCCATTGTTTTTCCATAACTTGATGGATTCACATCTATTATTACTGACACCTTTACCACTTCAGACTAACCTGCTATAATACACAAAAAGAGAAACATGAGACCAAGACCCAATTCACCCATACTCCTACCTAAGATTAAACCACACAGATCTGAGCATGTCTCTTCTTGTCATAAGGCACGTGTTAATACCTCTTGCTCTACCTCTTGCCCCAAGAATATTTTATAGGAACAACAACAGCAGTGTTGATGTTTCTTCCTCATACTGCTACCTATCAAACAGGACATAGGGTATATTGATAATTGTACTAACTATTATCATGATGTGGTAATGATATGTCCCCACTGAACAGTGAGTTTCTCAAAGGCAAAGGCTAAATATTGACTTTTATTAAGGCTATGCACATAGTCTGTAGCACGATAGGCTCTTGATAAATATTTGATGAGCTAAACTCTGAGGGAAGAGGAGCAAGGATAAATGTTATGCTCCTCATTCTCTATGGGTCCAAATCTTTCTAGAATTCCATTTTACTACTCCAACCCCAGGACTCCTTTGTCTCAGCTTCCTCCAAATCAAAAATGACAAATGGGAAGCAAGGTCAAAATTGGGTCACAACAGTTAAGTGTGGGAGTGAGGATGGGTGAGAATAATCTAAAAGCAAAAAATAAGACTAAGGTTGAAGTTTGGTCACTGGTGCCTTTGACTGAATTAGAAAAAGTCCCTCTTCCTCAGAGTAGCAAAGCCTGAAAACATGCACAATGCTTGGCACATGAATTATAGGCTGGATTCCAACCCCAGTGCCTTAGCTGGTGCCCTGGGTAGGAAACAAACTACACAAATGTATGTGGTGGTCCTGAGAAAGACTTGGGCTGTTCTATTTTTCCTTCTTAACCTCAGAACTCCTACAAAATTTTTAAGTAGCAGCAATACTATTAAAGTTCATCTGTGGTCCACCACTGTAATTGTTTGGTCTACAGGGCACAGTGATTTTGCTATGAAGCATGAAGTGGACTAAAAATCGACAAAACATTACATCTTCAAACCTTCACCTGTCCCTCAAGTAGCCCTTCATGTCCTCGGCTCTTCAAACTCTTCTAACCCCACATATTAACTACCTTTAAATCAAGTTCTCCAAACTACCAAGAGATGGTTCTTCCAAACCTAAGCTGCTTCTGAGTTGAAATCAAGGTGAAGGCTCTCAAAATCTCAGAACAAAGCTCAGCTCTGCATCTGTTTGCCAAGGACAGCACTGCCAACTAACACAAGGGGCAAAGCAGTTTCCAAGCCTACCTTCCATTGGTTTCTTGCCAGCCTGGATCTGTTCTGATTGGCTACTCCATTATCCCCACCACCAATCCAGAAGAAGCTGTTATCGACTTAAAGGGAAACCTGCATTTCTTAATGTTCAAGCTGTTATATACAACAACTGTTTTAACTGATTTCCCTTGCTGACATAATAGCTGAAATGGTCAAAGACATCAATCATGCAGGCAAAATATATATGTGTGTGTGTGTGTGTGTGTGTGTGTGTGTGTGATATATATATAAAATTTTTAATGACAACTCTATCCAGTTCAGCCCTAGCCCTGTTTAACACTGCCTTGTCTCTTCTCTCATTTTCAGTCAGTCTTTTCCAATTTTTTTTACTTTTCAACATCTCTCATTCCCCCTTTCCTCCTTCCCATTTTTCATTGATTTTGGTCCTCAATTTGAAGAAATAAATAGTGCCACCTATTCTCTCAGGGAGGGAAAATATATTGCCCTGCTGGACACGGTGACACACACTTGTAATTTCAACACTCTGAGAGGCTGAAGCAGAAAGATACCAAGTGCAAGCCCAGTTTGGATAACTTACTGACTTGGCAAGATCCTGTTCAAAATGGGAGATATATAAAAGGGATGGAGTGTAGCTCAGTGCAGAAGCCCTGGGTTCAATTTCCCCAGCACTGGGGGCAGGAGGACAACAAGCATGCATCCCCCAATTCTGTGATGCCTAACATACTTTTTGCCTCAAATCTAATTACCAGAAACATTTACAGTATGAATTTTTTAGTGAATATTAATCAACTTGTAGGTTACTTTCAAGGAAGAATTATTTTGTGACTAGGAAAAATCTAGTCTGTCATTCTTATGCTTCATAAATCAAGGTTGCTGCATATTCTTTTCCCCAAGGAGAAAGTCACAGCAGGAAGATTACTACACTTATTATCAATCTTTTCTATTATTTAGGTATTAGAAAAACTTTGATCAGGAAAAGTCCCAATTCCTAGATAGAAGTCCAGTTGACAGTTGTGTCTGACCCTGACCACTTTGGCATCAACACACCGGCCCCCAAAATATTCTCTACAACTTTTTTTTTGTTTTGTACCAGGGATGGAACCCAGGACCTTGCACTTGCAAGGCAGGTGGTGGAACCACTGAGCTAAATCCCCGGCAATCTACAACTTCATTTTTGTACAGAATGGTGTGGTTCCGTTAAGCCACTGGACCCGTTCCTATCAAATGACTGAGACTGTGTTAAAGAAAGTCACTCATAGGCTCTCTCCTGAGACACACATGCCTTATCCTTTCCCATTCGGCCTTAACTCATCTGATGGCCAATTTAACTGTGCTTTCCCCCATTTTCATCTTCACTTGATCTATACTAGTAGTCACGTTGATTTCTCTCAGGCATTAAGTTTGCACTTCCTCAAATCATTTTGCCTAATCTCCTTCCAGTTCTATGTCATTCCTGTCCTTCTACTGTCCCTCAGGTTCTTTTCATCTAACCCCTATAGGTAAGTCTCCTGTAGTTTCAATTTAAGTTTCAAAATCCAGATTCACCAAATCCTCACACTTCAGAAAAACTTGGATAAAATGTAGAGAGTCAGCCCTGGCTTACATGTAGTCCTCAAACCTAGAGATAGGACATAACCAAAATACAGAGACAAGAAAATTTCTCTTTGCCACAAACTTTCCCTAGAGCTCGTTTTAAAAAGACATAATAAATTTCTAGTTCATCAATTTTTGTAAAGCCAGCAGACTTTGATAGCTTTGGAGAGTTAAGGGCTGAGGCTGTCCCATGGGCTTCCTCTCCGCCCGCTCTTCTGATAGCAGATGATGGGACTGTGACTGAGGTAGGCACACAACATAGATGGCTGTGTAGTTTCCCAGGCCCCTAACACTATGATTGGCTCAGGAATGGGAGTGGGACTCAGAAAAGACCAATCAGATGATTCCTTGGGCAGATATACACAGTTACTGAGAGAGCACTGTTCTCTATTTGGGGTTAGCTGTGCTCATGGTTGCCTAGTGCACCTATAGCCCATCTTCCCAAATGCATGAAGAAAGTCCACTTAAGATCTCAAAGTTTCTATGAGGCATCATCTAGCTCTTAACAAATAACTCTAGAATTCCTTCCCAGCTTTTACCTCTTTCCAGAAGTTATTTCTTAGTTCAAAAACTTTTTTCCATCTAGAAAGGTTGTGAATGAGAAGTAGTTTTGTTTTCAAATCAAATACTGGCTCCTTTATGTTTCTTTTGCAGTTTATATGAAAGTTGAAATGTTTCTTTTCTCAGCTCATCTCTTTCTTCACATTTTACAAGCCAAGTCGCACTGGAATGCTCTCTGGAAATTCTCAGCAGGATCATTAAGTTCATTACTTAAATAATTGTGGCCAAACTTATTTTAATCTCATAACAAGGCCCTTTTTTCTTTCAGCTTCCAACATTTTCCTAACCGTCCTGTAAACTTCCACAGACAGCCTCCCAGAGGTTGTTAATACTCCACTTGAGGCCTGTAGCCTTTAACTCACACCTCCCTCTAGACCTTCCTGGCTTAGGCCTCCGTCCAGTCCCAAAGCTTGTGCCATCTATTTCAGGTTTTGTTACACTCATTTCTCACTCCTAGGTTCTAAAATGTGTATGTTATACACTGCTGTGTAACAAAGAAACACAAAACTTAGTAACTTAAAACAAAAACAATTATTTATTTAGCTCTCAAGTCTGCAATTCCAGCAGTGCTCAGCAGACAAACTTTGTGTCCACTCTGTAAGGCATTAGCTGGGTAACTTGACTGGAGATCCACTTTCAAGATGACTCAGTCATATGCCTGGCACATTGAGGATGACAGCTGGCTGGAGCCCAGCCAAGGCTGTAGCTTCAGATCCTTTCCATGTGGGTCTCTCCAGTGGCTGGAGAACGAGGCAGAAGCCACGGCACCTTTTATAATCTTAGTCTTGGAACATCACATAGAACCACTTTCACTATAGTACAGGCCTACACAGGTTCAAGAGGAGAGAACGGAGATGCATCTCTCTATGTGAGGAAGGTTGCGATCACACTGTAAAAAGCACATCTGAGAAGGGAGATGGGGCCATCTTGGAATATTAGCATGAAGACTAGGATAACTGTCAGTCTTTTACAAGATGGGTATTATGCTAACAATCTAACAAATAACAATCTGCCTGCTTTGCTTAGTCTAGAGTGGTAGCTTTCAAAGGCCGGACCATAGGTCAGTTCTGATTCATGACAAAAGTTCCATCATATACGGCAAAGTGAGGAAAATCAAATATAAAGTTCTATAATAAAGCTTAATTTTTCCATGTTAAAGGTAAGGTCTTACACTGAGATCCTATCTTCCCTACATTTTTGGCGTTAAAATGTCTTTTATTACATGATAATAGGTACTAGTTTTCTTAAAAGGGTATATCAATCTCCTCCCTTTATTTTTTTATATTTTTCTGATCAATGAAACCCAAAACTCTAAAGAATCACTTTCTAAAAGTTATCATAGCACTAAATTTAGCCTTTGACTGACTACCTCTCAACTACTGTGGATGCATTTTTTAAATTACTAGTAGGTACTCTGAATACTAATTACTCTGTAGAAGTTTACAAAAAGCCATGCAGCTACCCAAGTAACACTCAGACTCAAAGCATAAGGGAATTTTAACCGTCCTAGGTATCTATTAATTTTGTGCAACAATAGGTAACAACAAATACTATATCTCTCAAAAGGTTATAGATTTATAGATGTAAATAAATGTCAGATCCTCGCATCACCAGAATCTCTGAAAGAAGATCCAGAAATCCCTTGGTAATCACTAGGTTCACAGGCTTGAAAAATGATATGACATTCAAGATGAAGGCTTAGGAAATAGAAAGTTAGAAAACAGACACAGAGCCATAGTGTGGGATGTGTGGCTTGCCTGTTAGGGGGGTAGGAGTTGAAATGGGGCACTAGCGTAAGCAAGGTATAGAGATAAAGTTGGGAGACATTTTTATAAAGGTGAACAAGCTCTATGAATGAATGAAGAGGTAGTGAGTTCTATGAAGAAAGGTAGAACTAAAAGTGAATTTATGTAACTATTATTTACTTATTTACTATCTTACAGACTCTTTAGGTATAACAAAGTTGCTACCATTAAAAGGTTCACAATTCACATGCAGAGACAAACACAAACAATTAACCAGCTATTGGCACTAAGGGTGCCCCAAAGAAGAAATGATTAGTTCTTTGTAGTAATAGGGATAGAGAAGTGGAGAATTATGAATTGCTTCACCTGGGGGTCGGGACTGAATTTTGAGAGGTTCCCACAGCTGGGGGCAAGATGAGGAAGAGAAGCTGGTGAAGGGATTAGAAAAGCAGATTGTGAGAAAGTAGAGGTGTCGCGATTGGCATCAAGGTGCCACTATAAGAACTTTAACAAACAGAGCATTGGCAAATATATCAAGAGCTACAAAGAGTTTGAGGATAAATACTGAAAAATAAGTATAAAAAGGAGAGAGAGGTTGATTATAGAGGGTCTCTAGAAATGCCACAGTCTTATTTGGGAATCTTAGAAGCAAAATCCAGGGTTCCTTCCCTACTCATCAGGAATACTCACCTGGAAAGTAATGTTGTATTCAAGATCAGGCTCAGAAAATGCAGAATTAAGAGTAGAAATAACAAAAATGGCATCTGGCCTCTTCCTAAATTATTGCAGTGCTGAAGGACATTGGACTTCTAGAAATGTCCTGTATTAAGAAAATGGAGCAAAGATATCTTTCTTTGTACTTCTCCAAAAGCAACCAGAAGGCCTATCAGAGAGAAGGGTAAAAGTTATTGCCCTGTTCTTCTGCTTAAGGAAATTGAAACTGAATTGCTTGTACATTAAAAAAAAAACTCAAGGGCCGGAGATTTAGCTCAGTGGTTTCGCCGCCTGCCTTGCAAGCACAAGGGCCAGAGTTCAATCCCCAGTACCAAAAAAAAAACCCTCAAAACTTAAAACTTTGGGAAACATTTTAAATGGTTATCTCAAAACCATGGTTGAGACAATGTCAAGTGACAAAGTATCACTGAATTAGTCATTTATTTTTCCTCTTCCCTAAAATGAAAAACTAGCTTGCAGAGCAAAACAAAGAAGAGACAGTCGTAAAAACAAAGAATATCCTTTAAATATTTTCTTTCCTATAAAACTTTCCCAGAAAGTGACAAAGTAATAGAAGGTTCAGGGGCTTCATTAAATAAACCGGAAAAAAAAGACTTTCCAAATCACCAATAGGAAGCCAAGTATGATTTCCTAAACCCTAGGAAATAGAAAATGAAACAGGAAAGAAAATGTCATGGAGTCCGGTTATAGCATCTATATTGCCAAACCTACAGAATAGGACAAAACTTCTAAATATAAAACTATACAGATTTGTGTTTATTAATGTAGAGATACAAAGAGGTTAAAGATAAATATGGGTTTTACTCAGAGACTAGATCCAACTTACAGGTGGATTTTAATTTGAACATAAAAAAGTAACAGTTATAGCCTGAGGACCCTGATCTAAACAATTCTTAATATTTCCTTACTCCAGAATGTCATTTGTAAGATTTCTTTTTGAAAGCGCAAGAACAAAATTTTTTTCCTCTGGAAATAACCAAATATGTCTTTTTAAAATGGAACCCTCCATTTGAATAGAAATTTTTGTCTCAGTTACACAGAAAATCATGAGACTCTCTACGTGGTTTCTAAAGACCCCATGTGGTCTTTGCGAGTGATTTGTACCCAAGTGCTTTCCTGAAGGAGTGCCTGAAACTCATATGGGGCTGCACTTGGAGGACCAGAGACAAGACTGGGGTGTTGGCAGAAACACTCTGAACCTGGTAAAACCAAGCAAGGGTGACTGAATCTTGAACATTCGATATAATTTCATGTTGATTTTCCTGACTTCAATTGGCATGAATAGGTTTGTCTTTACTGATATTAGAAGAAAATGTGGCCTTTTACAAAATATATGTTCAGCAGAAGGTATAATCTTGATTTCTCTTCTGGCTATGGCTTAGTTTATAATAGATTTGATATTTTCGCTTGACCTGAAAGAAAAGAGATTTTTTAAATTACATTTAATTAGCTTGTGATAAAAAACAAAATGAAGCCAGTTTTTAAAATAATGGGGTCCAGGGATTTAGCTCAGTGGTCCTGGTGCCTGCCTCGAAAGTGCAAGGTCCTGAGTTCGATCCCCGGCACTCCCCCCCAAAATAAATAAATAAATAAATAAAATAATGGGCATGAAATAAGTATGTCCCAGCTGAAACCAGCCATTAGTTGAATCTTGCCGTTACTGGTATATCAGTTCAAATATTCTTCCCCATATATATATATATATATATATATATAGCTATGAGATTATATTTCCCATATAATCGCTGTTATTGTTCCTAATTTGGCTATGGACCAGGATAACTGAATAAATTGCCGAACCTCTAAGTTTTTGTTATTTTATTGTAAAATGTAGGATCATTTCAGAGGTTCTATTAAGATCTAAATCTTACCTCAGTGAAAGTACTTAGAAGGGATGTAGTAACCGAGGGGACTTAGGAGGAAGGGCAATTTTTCTTCAGAGGAGAGAGGGAGGGAGAGAGGGTTGTTGAGCAAGGCCCATGGTAGTGGTGCCGGTGGGATTCGAATCATCTAACCAATAACTCAGGTTAATCATCTCACTCCTGGAATACACTGATCTCACTTTCTGAGTCTCCTCTCCCTCCAATCCATTTTATGAGAAAAGCCAGATTACTTAATCCCTCTTAATCTTACTTCATCCCTCTTCTCTTCTACTCTAAAGGCTTTTAATGATATCACAGTCCCCACAAAATAAAGCCCAAACTTCTAAGTTTACAATTCAGTGCTTTAAAAATACAATGATCACAAATTAACTTTGCAATCTTTTTTTTTTGGTACTGGGGATCGAACTCAGGACCTTTTGCTTGCAATCTTATTTTCTACCATGCCTTAATACAGACTTAATTACAATCAGCCACATAGGTACTGGTCACTTTCTTATCTCATATGTGATATTCTGTCACACTACCTACACTGGGTTAAATGTCTGAAACTTTTAAAATCCATGACCCCTTTTGATGAACCTAAAAATATTAGATACTAGATATCCAAATGCAAAACAAGGAAAATGGACCCCATCTCACACCAAAAAAAAAACTCAAAATGGATCACAGAGATAAATGTAAGAGTTAAAACTATAAAAACTCTTAGAAGAAAATGTAGAACTAAGTCTTGGTAAACTTGGATTGGGCAATGATTTTTGAAATATTAAACTGACAACCAACAAAAGGAAATTAAATATATTTGGACTTCTTCACAATAAAAATCATTTGTCCTTCAAAAGACAGTTAAGAAAATGAGGAGGGCATAGTGGTACACATAGATAACCAGCTTCTCAGGAGGCTGAGATAGAAGGATGGTGAGTTTAAGGCCAGCTTGGGAAGTATGGTAAGACTCTAACTAAAAAAATTTAAAAAATGAAAAGACAATGCAAAGAATGGGAGAAAATATCAGAATCATATTTCTGATAAGGGATTTGTATACACAATATATACAATAAAGAACTCCCATGATAAAAATACAACCTGATATAGAAATCAAAAATAAACATTTCTTCAAAAAAAATAAGTGACCAATAAACACACGAAAAGATGTTTATTAGTAATAATTAGGAAATGCAAATCAGAACTATAGTAAGACACCACTACTTACCCACTAGGATGGTGAAAAATATTTTTTAAAGACAGTAACAAACGTTGACAAAGACATGGAGAAATTGAAATCCTCATGTACTGCTTATGTGAATTTAAAATGTAAGTTTGTCAGTTCCTCAAAAGGTTAGACAAAAAGTTGCCATATGATCCAGCAATTCTTTTATTTATACAACAAAAAAAATGAAAATATGTGGCCACACAAATATCAACAGTTCTTAGCAGCATTATCCAGAGTAGCCAAAAGAATGGAAATCCAAATGTTCCCTGATGAGGGCCAGGGATTTAGCTCAGTGGTTCCAGCACTTGCCTCATAAGCGCAAGGTCCCGAGTTCATGTCCCGGTATCAAAAAAACCCAAGCCAAACACAAAACAACAACATGTCCATTACAAATGTTCCCTGACTGGGCCAGGGATTTAGCTCAGTGGTTTCGTCGCCTGCTGTGCAAGCACAAGGGCTCCAGTTCGATCCCCAGTACCAAAAAAAAAAAAAAAAAAATGTTCCCTGACTAATAGATGGATTAAATTTGTATCAATACAATGGAATATTACTAAGGAATGAAGGACTGATACAAGTTACAAAATGGAGGAACCTTAAACACATTATACTAAGTGACAGAAGCCAACCACAAAAGGCAGCACATTTTATTGTTCTATTTTTCAAATATTCAAAAGAGTCAAATTCATAGGGAACAAACAGATTAATCATTACCAGAGCTTGGGGGAGAGAGGAATATAGTGTCTTTTAGCAGGTGTAGGGTTTCTTTGGGGGGTAGTAAAATGAACTAAAATGTGGTAATTATATAACTTTGTGAATATACTGAATTATAACACTGAAAATTCTTTTTCAAATTCTGCCTCTCTCCCAGGAGGACATTCTCTATTGAGAATCATTGGTCAAAATCAAAGACAGTAATCATAGAAAATGTAATGACTGATGATGACAATATCAAGATTGGTACTGGGCATTTCCTATAAAAGAATCTAGTTACTAGTTATTCCTAATAATGAAATGGGAGCTGTATCACAGGGTTAGTGCTTCTAACAAAGTTGATGCCTGCTTAAGAAGACTGCTAAAAACACAGTACCTTCAATAACATTGAACCTAATCCTCATCTTTTCTGACATTCAAACTATCTTTACCTAATACTTACGGGATGTAGCCATTTTTGTGAAGATAGGGGTCACAATATCTTCCAAGTGTTTTCTCTGCTCAAAAAGCTCATTAATGGAAGCTTCTGGATGAGTTTCCAACCACTCATTTTTTACACGGCATGCATTGAGGATGGTGTTCTAGGAACAAAAATAAAGAATTTACTTTCCATTTATTTACTGAAAAATAAACTCTACAGTTTCTCTATCAAGTGCTTCTGTGGGCATGGGAATGTTCTCTATCTGCTCTGCCCAGGGTAGTATCCATTAGATATACTCAGCTATTGAATACTAGAGATGTGGGTAGTGTGACTGAGAAACTGAACTTTAAATTTTATTTAATTTTAAATAATTCAAACTTAAATAGCCACATGTGGCTGGTGGAAACTAAACTGAAAAGTACTGCTCTGACATCAGTGGAAGGTGAGTTACTAAAACTCACCATCAAGATTCAAGAACCCTTGCACCAGTTTACACTTTCTCCCTAATTCTTTATTCTCATTGAACTCTGTCACAAAACAAAAGCTTGCAAAGGCTGGAAAAGAATAGGTACATGGTAGGAGCTGCATGCAACTCAATAGACAATGCTGATACTTTATTCCCTGTCAGATAGTTCACTGCAGGAAAAGTTCAAGAAATTTGAGAAAAGCTCTACTCCACTGAAAAGCTCGCCTTTTGCACGTGCGCAGTAAACTTCTGATGTCTGAAGATGTTTATAATACTATACCTCATAAATATGTACAAATATAATATGTCAATCAAAAAATTAAAAAGTAGAGAAGAAAAAGATGTTTATTGTACTATGGTTTATAAGAATAAAGAGAAATGAATAAATAATGGTATGTCTTCTCATGCTATTAAATAATGAGCAGTGATACATACAGAAGTATGCTGAAAAAAGTGAATGGAAAAGAGAAAACTATTAAGTTTGTTTTATATTTTTTTGTTTTTTCTGATTATTACTGTATGTATACATTTTCTTGTTCAGATAACCAAGTTTCTAAAAATTAAAGCTAAAAGGTTTTCTAGCAACTAGTTTAAAAAAACACTATTCCTTTGTACCAAGAAAATTTTGTTTTGCAGATCTAATGGCTCCAGTAGCTATTTTGATAGAACTTTTTCTATATTTTGTTTGTTTCACAAGAAATTTTTTGTTTGTTTGTTTGTTTGTTTTTGATACCGGGGATCGAACTCAGGTCCTTGCGCTTGTGCAGCAGGCGGCGAAACCACTGAGCTAAATCCCTGGCCCTCATAAGAAATTTTGTAGAGTGATTTTTAGATTCAAGTGCAATGTGTAATTTATCAAATTCTTAGACTTGCTTATTTCCTTTTAGCAATAGCTAATTCTCTTTCATCTAAATTATGTCAGAGAAAATTCACAGAACACTTTTCATGAAATAATTTAAAACTAAAACACAGGATACTTTGACCATATTTAATTCATGTACATCAAAATCAATATAGTTCACAGGCAATTAGATATGATAATATGGCAAGTTGGCTTTACCATTAGCTATCTTTATAGCTTCAACTTTTTCCCCATTATGGAAATTTTGTTATATTAAAAATATATAATATATGTATATATACTAGAATGCATAATGTATAGCTAAGATTTGAAGCAAAATAATGAAATGAGTAACAGTGGACCCTACTAAGCAATGAAAGAAACTGCCAGTAGTACTAACACAAGTTCTGTGTCCCTCCCTGTATTAGTCAGCTTTCTCATTGCTGAGACACAATACCCAACACCCAAAACTTAAAGAGGGAGAGGTTTAATTTAGCTCACAGGAGAGCTTGCCCGTCTTCAGGAGATCCAGTACACGATCAGTAGGCTCCAAGGCAGAAGCATCACGACAGAGGGCATGGCAAAGCAAAGCTGCTTAGTTCATGGTGGGCAAAAAGCAGAAGGAAGAGTGCCAGAGAGGACTGGGAGAGGAACCATATACAGTACCCAAGACCACAACTCCATGACCAATCTGACAAAACCAGGAGTATGCTTTACTAAACAGCTAGCCATTTCTTAATCCAGTGAAGCTGACATATCAAAATTAATCATCATAATCCACCCCTTCTCAATATCACCCAAACATATCTCCCTAAACCACACCTAATCTCCAAATAAAGACAATAGCAAGTTCACAATTCCACCTAACATAATACAACTATCCTGAGTACAACTGGAAATGCAATAATCCCTTCCCCAAAACCTCCACAGTTCCAGCATTTTTTTTAAAAAAAGTCCAAGTCTCCTCTGAGACTTAAGGAAAATTCTTAGCTGTGAAACTATAAAAATTAAAAACAAGTTATATAATCCCAAGGTACAATGCAAGAGTCCCATTCCAAAAGGGAAGAATAGGTAGATAGAAAAGAATAAGACCAAAGCAAGATCAAAACCCAGCAGGGCAAACTTTAGGTCCTGTAGCTCCATATCCAGGACACAAAGTCTAGAAAAGCAGATCTTGGCATTGTCCATGTGATGCTGGTTTGTCAGGCATGCAGAATACAAGAATTTGTAGAGTCAGGGAAGGTTCCACCTAGATTTCAAAGAAAGACCTGGGAAGGCAATCAAGGAGTCTCTATGAGGACATGTGTGAAGCAGTGGGAATGTACTGAAGGTGTTATGGAGACCCTAGGAAACTGGAGATACCAGGAACATGGAATATCAATTTTTCCTTTTTAATAAAGAATAAAAATACATTAAAATCCCAAAAACAGAATACTTGAAATTTACAGTTCAAATTCAAATTAGCAGAGTATTAGATATTTATAAAACTATATCTTAATATTTATATAAATAAAAATATTTATAAAGTTGCATGTAATTTTACAGAATTGACAAAAGAATGACTCAAAAATAGAAGAATTTTCCTTCATTCCTAAATGAAAGTATGTCCAACAGAAACTGTGAAGATTTTGAGACTTGGTACAAACACCTTATCTTTGTGTGCACAAAAGAACTAACATGTGACAAGGGCTCATCAGCCTACTCAAGACTGGAGCTGAGCCTGGGGCTATTGCTTCCTCCCCCACGTAACAGGGTAGTGACTTGGAACTTTGACCTCTGCCAGCATATTTTGCAATTCTAGAATATTCCAAAAATGTTGTTGAAAGATCTTCGCTTCATGTAGACCCTTGGGACTGTTCAACAGTCCAGCCTGTTTGGACCCAGTGGTTTTCAGTGTTACCTGACTTATTCTTTGGGAATAACTTGTGCTTCAGAAAGGCCAGACAACCCTGTTGAGGTTCCACATGCCCATCCTTGGGGACAAAGTTTAGCAAGGAGACAGTTTCCCTTACAGCCTTTAAGACATCAGCAGGTAATATCACCAGTTTCCAGGACATAAACCAGGAAACCATCAGACAAGACATCAGGAAGCAGAAAATGGACAAGGAGAAGATGGAGCATGGAGGCTGTGACCCAGCTTCTGCTAGGCAGGGCCCAGTAGCATCACTGCCTGAGTGGGTAGAGAGGCCTGGCCAACCTGTACTTTCTGGGAACATCACAGCAAGTGACATTTAGGCAAAGGTGCTAACACTATGGCTGTGTCTCAGCATGTGATTTGTGGTATAATGTAGGTGAACTTACAGTAAAGGATCTAGAATCCTAACGAGTGAATTAAAATATGGGCCCTACTAACTACTATATTAACAAGTTGACTCGTGTAATCTTGTGGAGATAATAGATGATGCTGGTTTGTTTAATATCCAATCAAATATATACATTCAAGAAAATATTTTTTTAACTTTTTAATTTTTATTAGTACATGTTTGCAGTACATAATGAAAAACCAACAAGTGGTACCCATGCTACAGTTTGGATGTTCAGTTGTCTTGAAATTTCCTCCAAAAGATAAATTAGTCCACCATCTATAATCTGAGTCTCCTGCAAAGTCTCATCATATAGCCAAAATGTAGACAAATTTTCTGCCAGAGTATAACACACATGGCCTATAGTACAAATACCAATGGAGTCTTTGTTCCCAACTGAAAGCTCCTGAGCCTGGCTTTTAGCATCCTTTTTTTTTTTTTTTTTTGGTACTGGGGATCGAACTCAGGACCTTGCACTTGTGAGGCAGGCGGTGGAACCACTGAGTTAAATCCCCAGCCCAACCATCCATATTCTTGTTAGCATTCTGGCCTTCTTTTTTTCCTGTACTGAACCCCAGGCCTTTTGCACTGAGCCACATATCCAGCCTTTTTTATATGTTTTTTTAAATTTTTTTTTGAGACAAGGTCTTGCTATTTAGTTCAAACTGTCCTTGAACTCACTGTGTAGCCCAGGCTGGCTTCAAACTCACAATGATCCTCCTGCCTCAGGCTCCCAAGTTCTGGGACTACAGGTATGTGCACCATGCCTGGCAGCTCTGTGGTCTTCTGAGCTCCAGCCTGTCACTCATAGGCTCTGCTTACTGCATTCTAAGGCTTCTCTAGCCCACATCTCACCACCTTTCCAAACTCCTCTAGCAGACCAGTCTGAAGGCTTCCAAACCACATGGTCAGGTAGTCACATCCACCACCCCACACCTCTGTACTGATTTTCTGTGTCAGTCAGCTTTCTTGTCATTGAGACACAATACCCCAAAACCACAACTTAAAAAAGAGGATTAATTTAGCTTAAGAGTTTCAGAAGATTCAGTACATGATCAGCAGGCTGCAAGGCAGAAACATCATGGCAGAAGGGCATGGAAAAGCAAAGGTGCTTAGTTCATGGCAGCCAGGAAGCAGAGCAGGGGAAGAGTGCGGGACAGGAATGAGCAAAGGACAATATATAGTATCCAAGGTCATGCTAGGCGTGTCTTAATCCAATGAAGTTGACATATCAAAATTAATGTTCATATTCTCCAACTCCCCACTGCCTGCCTCCAAGAGATAAGTATAATCTCTTAATAAACTTTCCTTGTATTTTTTCGGGTTTGGTGACAGGTGCCTATAATCCCAGAACTTGGGAGGCTGAAGCAAGAGGTTTACTGCAAGTTCAGGCCAACCTCAGGGCTACATAGCGAGTTCAAGGCCAGCCTGAACTACATAGTGAGACCCTGTCTCAAAAAAAACAAAGAAAAGAAAAGCTTTGTTTTTTAAAATAGTTTTACCCTCATATGTAGGTATCCCTAAATAATATAATGTGTTGTTTGTTTTTGACCTTTATAGAAATCCATGTAGTCTTTAGTGATTATTTTCCACTCAACACTATATTTCTAACATTCATCCTGCTGTCAGATCAGACTATCCCTTACCAGTAGTTTATGAAGGAAAGGACAGAGAGATGGAAGAAATTGGGGAATGAGAATAGAGGGCAGGAGGGAGGAGAGGAAACAGGAGGAAGGAAGAAGACTATCACCTACCTCTAGAACACTAATGTAGAAATTAAGATGTAAGACAAAATTCTCAAAAGACTTTCAGAACAATAATCACAATACAGTACCTTGTCTTCCTTAAGGAGCTTCCCTGGTCCCTTTTCTGAGTCAGTAATGGTTAAGGAAACTTTTGCAATATATTTTTTCAAAGCCAGTCTGGCATCTAAAAGAACAGGACACCAAAACACACAATGATAAAACAAAGATTTTTAAAAGCACTCAACTCTTTTTAAAGTACATTACATATCCAGAACTTTACAAAGATTATGTGTAAGACATTCACTGTGGTTGTTTTCGCTGAATTCCAGAAAAATAATGCTCAACCAGCACATCACATAGGAGCACTCATTATGTTCCTAGAATTGTGCTAAAATTTTTGAAGAACAAAGGAAATATAAAACATGAGACCTGATCCCAAAGAGAACCTATCTATTAAAATGTCTACTCTAAAGAAACAACAAAAAATATTTCCAATAGACAAACTGATCTTTGCTTTACTCTTAATATTTCACACAAAAAATTTTTTTAAGTTTTCTTCTTTTAAAAAAGTACTTAAAATAATTACATTCACAGTAATGTTATCACGAAATTTGTAAGATCTTTTTAAATAAAACTAATACTTTAATGAGAGAACTAAGACTCAAATAGAGGTGCTTACCATATTCCTGGACAGAAAAACTGAATGCTATAATTGTAGATTAGTCCCAAATTAATTTAAATGTTGATGTATTTGTTTTGTGAGGCTGCTACATTAAATAACCACAAATTCGGTGGCTTAAAATGACAGAAATTTATCCTCTTACATTTCTAGAGGCCAGAAATCTGAAATTTACCTAAATTGACCTAAAGGCAACATGTTGTCAGGGCTGGTTCCTTCTGCTAACTCTGAGGAGAGAATGTATTTCTTGTCTTTTTTAATTTCCAGTGGCTACTTAAATTCCTTGGCTTGTGGCCCCTTACTCCATCTTCACATATATCATTCTGATCTCTTCCATCAGCAAATCACCTTCTCTTCTTTGTCAAACCTTCTACCTTCCATTTATAAGGACACCATGATTACATTAGGGTCCCACCTGGATAATCCAGGATAATCTCTCAAGAATTTTAAGAAGGCAGCTCTTGGGAGGCTGAGGCAGTAGGATCACTGTGCGTTCAAAGCCAGCCTGGGCTACATAGTGAGACCCTGTCCTGTCTCGAAAAACAAAGAATCTTAAGAATCTGTGAAGCCCTTTTTGTCATATAGAGTAAGATTTGCAGGCAGGATTAGAACTTGGATATCTTTAAGAGCTGTCATTAACCCTACCACAGTCTTCCCGCTTGCTCCCTCAGAATTCACATCTATCCCAAATGCAAGATACATTCATTCCCCCAAATGTTACCACAATACCAACTCCCACCCAAACTCTCATTTAAATATCACAACTCAGAAGCCTCAAACCTTCAGCTCTACATCATCTAAACAACTTATAGGTGAAGGTATGGGGATTTAGCTCAGTGGATCCATGGCCTGCCTCACAAGTGGAAGGTCCTGGGTTCTATCCCCGGTACCCCCCCAAAAAAACAAAAAAAACTTATAGGTGAGACTTTTTGAGTATGCCATCCTGGGGCAAAATTCTTCTTCATCCATGGACCTGTTAAACTAGAAGAAACAAGTTATCTTCTTCTAAACAACAGTAGAACAAGAATAGAATTAGTTATAGACACTGCCATTCAAAAAGGGAGAGAATGGAAGGAAGAAAGGCATTACCAGTCCCAGACAATATGAAATACAACAAGACCAATTCCATTAGGTCCCAAGGTCTGGGAATAATCTTCTGTGACTTGAGACTCTGCCCTTGGGTCCTGAGCCTTTGCCCTGGGGACCTGAGGTTTCATCTGCTCAGTCATCCTTCCTTTCTCATGAAATGTATCATGTGCTTGCAACTGAATAGTTTTATTAGCCTGTTCCCTGCCTACACATGTTTGGGAGTCCAGTATCCTTTTTTCATCTTGTCCTCTCTTTGTTTGCCTAAAGCAGTGTTTCTTCTGGTATAACATTCTCAAAAACAAGGTGAGTCTCCTGGCACATCAGAGAGATTCACTTATTAAACAAGAGTCCCCTCCACAGGTCTTTCATGGATAATCTTATTTCTACCCCTGGCTTCTGGAGAGACAGCTGAGAGAACCCACAAGCCTCACTCCTAATGTCTGCAGCACTAGCAAAAAGACATCTCGCCATATTGCTGGCTTTCTCTCCAGAGCATACTTTCCTGACAGTGAATTTCTTAATTTTAGCTTCTATGTTAGTCAGATTTCTGATACTATAACAAAATGCCTAAGATAATCCATTTATGAAGAGAGGTTTACTTCAGCTCACAGTTTCAGAGGCTTTAGTCCATGGCTGGTTGGCTCTGTTGCTTTAGGGTCTCTGGTGAAGCATTATATTATAGAAAGGAACATGTGAGAGCAAAGCCATTCACCCCATGGCCAGCAGCAAGTGAATAGCAGAAGACAAACCTGGGGCCCCATTTGCCCCTTCAAGGGTACACCCCCAATGACTGGAAAGCCTCCCACTAGGCCCCACCCACTACAGGTTCCACAAATTTCCAAGAGCACCAAGCTGGGAATCAAGCCTTAACATATGGGGCTTTGTGGAAACTGTTCCAAACATAGCCGTGCCTTTTGTGATCTGGATAGGCTGAGACTTTTCCAAATCATCAAGCCCTCTTTCACTTTTGCTTAATAGTTCTTCCCTCAAGTTATCTCTTTCACAGTTTTCTATAAACATCAAGAAACAAATCAGATTAACCTTTCTTGCTTGGGAATCTCTTCAGCTAAATATCCAGGTTAATCCTTGCAAGTTCTGCTTTCCATATAATGGCAGGGGGACCAGGGATTTAGCTCAGGGGTTCTGCTGCCTGCCTCACAAGTGCAAGGACCTGAGTGAGTTTGATCCCCAGTACAAAAGAAAAAAGACACCCACATAATGGCAGGAATATTACAGCTAAGCTTTCTGCTGCTATGTAAAAGACTGCCTTACCTGCAGTTTCCAATAACATGTTCTCCACTTTCTACCATTCTGTTTGTGATAATTTATGTGTTTTTTAATACAAAGTAGGCTTTCTCTACCGTGCTCCTCACTCCCTTCTGAGACCTCAACAGCAGTATCTTTAATGTCCATAGTTCTGCCAACAGATTGTTCGGGACAATCTTGGCTTTTTCTATCATGCAGCTTGAAATTCTTCCAGTCATCTAACCATTACTCAATTTCAAAGCCACTTCCACATTTGTTATAGAAGTGACCCATTTTCAGGTACCAAAATATATACAACTTTCCACGTCTCTCTGGTGGATTAATTAATGGTCAGCTTGCGTGGGAATGCCCAGCTGAACTGAATCAGCACGCTCCTGTGTGTGGAAGACCCACCTGAAGATTATTGCCACATAAAAGGAGAACGGGAAAGGAAGATTGCATGCTGCTGATTTTCCCCAGAAGGGCCTTGCTCCCGAGTCCTGGAGGCCTCCACTGCGGTTCCCCTACGGGGGCTGCCCTAGGCACCAAACAGCATCTCACCTCCCCCCTACCTCTACCCTCAGAAGGGCAGAAGCTGCTGAGCTTTGCCTGCTATTCTCTTCGGAGGGGCCCCAGTCTTCCCCTTCACCTGGGCATCATCTCCTGATTCTCTACATAGACTCTCTAGCCCTCAGGACTGGCCCCTTCCATCGGAGACTCCTCAGCCTTCTGATGCAGACTCATAGGGGACATTGCCTGGTCCCCAGGCCCTCAGCTGGAGTCTTTGGATCTCCAGCGCACAGAGAGATCTCTGCGCTCTTTTTCACTTGACTTTTGGGTGAATATTATTTTAAAAATCCTATAAATTATGTGTCCTGTATTAAACCTATTCCCTGGTAAACCCTACAACATCTGCTATAACAAATTATAACAAGGGCTGGGGATTTAGCTCAGTGATTCCGCCGCCAGCCTCGCAGGTGCAAGGTCCCAAGTTCGATCCCTGGTACAAAAAAAAAAGAACTGTGTACAAATTATCACAAACTTCGTGACTAAAAACAACAATAATTTATTCTTTTATAGTTCTGAAAGTCAGAAGTCCAAAATCAGCTTCACCACTGGAGGGGGATAGTTTCTAAAGGGTAAATCTTTGCTTGCCTTTTTTCCAGCTTCTAGTACCTGTCTGGGCTCCTTGGCTTGTGGCTCCCTCTTTATACCTTCCAAACACATCACCTCACTCTCTTCTCACATTATCATATCACCTTTTCTTTATCAAGTATCCCTCTATAACCCTCTATAAAGACACTGATTAACAGTTAGTGTTAACCAAGGTAAGACAGGGCAATTTCTCCACCTCTAAATCTTTAATTTAATCACATCTACAAAGTCTTTTTTGTCATATAATATTAAAAGTTTCTGGGCTGGGGATTTAGCTCAGTGGTTTTGCCACCTGCTGCGCAAGCACAAAGACCCGAGTTCGATCCCCGGTACCAAAAAAAAAAAGTTTCCAGTGATTGGAAGCTGAACCTTTACAGACATTATCTGGCCTACCACTGTCGGTACATAAAAATGCCATGAAATTCCAAACAGGAATACTTCAGAGACTGGATGAAATCATGCTAAAGCTCTGTTACCTTTAGCCCCTAAAAATCTCTTTAAGCTTCATTTGAACATCATAAAAGTACCTTCCTTTGTCAAATTCTGGCCCATTATTGAAGTAGTATTGATAATTATGGACTAGCTAACTGGTCTTATTGCTTCCAACTCTTCACAGCTTCAAATCTGTCTTTCATGTTGCCAGCATAATTAATTTCCTACACTGGAATCCAGAGTTTAGGCTCTGCTTCTTCTAGTTGGGTAACCTGAAGTCACTGGTGAATTCAAAATTTCAATACAAGACAGAATTTAGGGGATAAGTTTGTTGGAAAAGGAATGAAAGGGCTTTTCACAAAGCTGCATCCGCATAACAAGAACACTTTTCATTCAAAGCACATATTTAGGTGGATAAGCTGGCAGAGAAAGGAGCCTATTTGCAAGCATTCTCTAATTACCACCATACCTTACCATTCATGACCTCAGTTTTCTCATCTGTAAAATGGGAGTATCTTAGTATAGTCCTCAAAGAGCAACTGTGAGGATTATAGTACCATATATTATAGTATACAGTACAATGCATAATGTAGTATAGCATATGGTGTATATATAACGTATCCAAATATCTCAGCAAAGTCAAAGTACCTGTACACAGTGAAGCACTCAATAAATTTATTATTTTGTCACTACTCAAAACTCTGTAAACTATTCCATACTGCCAACTGAACAAAATATGGGGCCCTCTAAGATCAATATAGCCATGAACTATTTTTCCAGCTTTATCTCCTCCAGTATTCACTCAGAGATTCTATCCATAGTTTATCCCTACTCCCTAGGCCCCAGCCCCACCCATGTGAGCTCCCTTCTTCAGTTCCTTCAGGTCACTTCTCAGCCCTTGCCTTATCAAAAATGTCTCTCTTGGGCCGGGGATTTAGCTCAGTGGTTCTGCCACCTGCTTCGCAAGCACATGGACCCGAATTCGATTCCTGGCACCAAAAAGAAAAAAGAAAAAAAATGTTTCTCTTAATTTCACTCCAAAAAAAAGGGCTAGGGATTTATCTCAGTGGTTCTGGCGCCTGCCTCGCAAGCGCAAGGTCCCAAGTTCGATCCCCGGTACCAAAAAAACCAAAAAACAAAAAATAACACAGCTGAGCATGATGGTGTATGTCTATAAGCCCAGTGCTTTAGAAGGCTGAGCAGTTTTGAGCCCAGCCTGGGCAACTTAGCAAAACCCTGTTAGAACAAAGCAAGGAAGACAGAAAAGACAGAGACAGACAGACAGAGAGGGGGCGGGGGGGAGACCGCAAGCGCTGGGAATGTAGCTCAGTGTGACAGAACCACAAAAAAACAAAAACAAAAAACCATACTGATTCGCTTGCTGGCAACTTCTCAGTACCCTTACGATTCTATTTTTCTCCACTGTACTCCACAGATAATATAGATATAATTATATTCTGTACTAAGTCGCAAGCTCCATGAAGGTAAATATTCTGATTTTCTGCTTTGTTCTGAGATGTATATGTACTCTCCAGTCCTAGTACAGTATTTAGCCTGTAATAGGCACTCAATAAACATTCATGTATGAATGTTTACACAGAATGTCTTGGTAATTCTGAGATGCTCTCTGCACTGTCACCTACCAAAATTCTACTCATTCTTCAAGTCCAAATCAAATATACTTTCATGAAACTTGTTTTCCCAAGTAGAATTCATTGCTCTTTCAACAGTTACATGTTTTTTATTTTATTTAGATCTCATTTCACTTCTTTTATAATTTTATTATTACTTTGGCTTTTGCTTTTACCTATAGACTGTAAGCTCCTTAAAAGCAAAATCTGTACCCCTTCTTTCTGTCACATGTGATACCACCTCACCATCTTGTCTTTTTCCATATACCATGTCACCTTACTCCTCATTCACTACGTGGCAGCATCTCATCAACTCTGAGGAAATGTGAGTAAACTTTTTCCATGAGATTCTATTAATATGAGTACACTTTAATGATTGACTGTATTAGCTAACAAAATATTAATACATTCTTCATTTTAAAGAAAACTGGAGATGCTCAAAGCAAAAAAAGCAACAAAAAGTATCTGTAAGAAAGCTAAGGTGATTGGTTAGGTGACATCTGTGGCTTTTTATGATGTCACTATGACTGGTATGTTATAATAGCCATCACTGAACATGTTTCTGCTCTGTCTGTGACCAGTTTTTTAACTGCAGACATGCTTCCCAACTGAGAAAGAAAGATGGCCAATGCAGTAGCATCCTTGACTTTCTCTCTGTTGTTTATCTTCCTCTTCAAGGGCAGCCTCTGCATCTGCGATGGGACAGCATGGACAAAAGTGGGGTGGGAAATCTTCCCGGAAGAAGTTCACCATCTCCAGGTTAAGACCTTCCGGCCTCAGTGTCCACCTCACCCTCTGACCAAGCTGTGCCGCAGCTTTGTTACCTGGGACATATTTCAGACTTGTCTACACTTCATTTTTACTTTAGCACAAGCTCTCTTTTTAATGATGTCTGTTTTATCTGTGCACTACCTGTGGATGAAATGGAAGAAGCACCAAAGAAAGGTGAATTCATGATTCAAAGTGTGATAGTTATAAAATTGAGAAGTGTTTGGAACATAAAATTATCCATTTCTTTTTTTTTTAAGAGGAGGGCATTCCTTTTTGCAGCCTCTCCTTGTATCTACCATGTGTTTGCACACACTAGTGCTCAACAAATCTGCAGTGAATTAAAAGGTCCTTAAAATTTTTAGTTCACATCAAAAAAAAAAAGCAGTGAACTGTAGTGCAGAATGTATAAGAAGTGAAGCCCTCTGTGCCCTTAGCTAAGTCATTCGCTCTTAGCTTCCTCATAAAATGAAGACTTGGAGGCCTGGGATTTAGCTCAGTGGTTCTGCCGCCTGCTTCACAATCACAAGGTCCAGAGTTCGATCCCTGGTATCAAAAAAAAGAATGAAGAATTGGGACAAGAGGTGGCTTAGATGCTTCTGGATTTATCTAAGAAAGCTAAGTACAAAAGTTGGCATGTACTTTTTAAATGGGCTGTACACTGATTTACAATGTTAGGTAATTTCCTGGGAAATAGAATTCTTAAACTAATTTGCCACTTTGCCAACAGATGGCACCACAGTTTGAGCCAGCCTTAAAAGCCCACTGACCAAAAAGAAAACAATCTTGACCTTCAAAACAATTTATATATCATAAATGTTTTCATATTTTTAAAATGACTATGATGTGGACATAAGGGGATCTGGGGATGGGGGAGAGGGGAGAGCCAGAGGGGAAGTGGAAGTAAAACTGATTAAAATGCAATATTATGTACCACAAACATACACGGTACCAATAAAAACCAAAAAATAAAATAATTGTGATTCACTTTATTCATTATAAGAAAAGTTTTTATAATATTCAGAATACTCTAACTATAGAAAGTACCAATTAAACATTTTTTGATGGTGACTAGAATCTTGTATGATATAGAAAAGTATTTATTCCGTACTTATATAGGTGACTTCTATAGTAACCTTTCTTTGTATAAAGAATTAATGTATGCATTTTAGTAAAATTTTTTACATGTTCAGAATATAAATTTAATGTGGACTAAAATAAGTTCTACCATTTGTTTTTCTCCTTTCCGCAGAAAAAACAAGATACTTTAGATAAAGTTGAAAATGATCTAAATACCTCATCCTTCTATGACATTCACCAAATGCTTTGCAAACTGCTGGCCATCTCATCAACAATGAAAGAGTACCTGAACCAGGTGCCCCAGTGCTCTTCCTCTAAGAAAATTAAGCATCACAAATTAAAGAAGAATAGTGAAGAACCACCACAAGGTAAAAGATTCTAAACATATGCATACAAAAATGTAGCTAAGTCAGATACAGAGATTACAAAAGAAATCTATTGAGAGGACTTTCTGAGGACAAAATGACTCTCTGGGGGGCCTTGATAATTCTTTTGCCATAATCTTTACCAAAATTTTTCACAAATGCATTTCTTTCCAACTAAAGAAAGAATTCATACTTACTACAGTGGCTCCCGGAATAAAATGAAAACAGCCTAGTCTGGCATTGAAGAGTATAGTCTAGCTGTAATTACAAAAGCAGCATTTCTCAAGTGCTGACCTCATGACAGGTATTGTGTTAGTGTTTGACAACACCTAATTTACTTTTCACCACAACCCTCAGTCATTATTGGCTCCCTCTTCCAGAAAGAAAGCCAATATATAGCAAATTTAAATATTTTCTCCAAAGTCATATAGGTTTCAAGTGAAGACACTACTATTCTAACTCAAGAAATCTCAAGAAGCCATGTACTTAATCATTTTTATTATTCCACTTATGCTGAACTATGACTTATTCCTCCAGTGAGGCAATCTTGTCACTGTCCCTACCATGCTACTTTCATTCCCAACTCTAAGATTGTGCTTATATCCTTTTCTCTTCCATTGCATATTCAAGTCCCATCCATTCTCCAAGCTCCAGCTCAACCCCAACACGCTGACTTCACATTCTCTGACAACCCCATAGCATGGACTGCCTATCTGCCAATGTTCACCCTTAATCACAATCTTTCTGATAATGTTATATACCTGTTAAGTGTGTTTATAGATTATCATCACCCAAGAATGTCCAGAAGCCAAGAACAACCAATTGTACCTACAACAATAATGACATATTCAAAAATAGGCATTCAATAAATGCTTGCTAAAGGCATGAATTCAGATAACAATACAGAATGAATGCAGTGAACTTTATAAGTATTAGTTTTTAAGCTGATGTTTGCATACATACAAAGTTACACAGGTTTACATTCCTGAAATCTCCTTAAGCTATGCTTTACAGGGTTGCAGGCATTAGCAAAATATTAGCAACACTCAAAGTAACATATACTTTTTTTGAACTTTATATTAAAGTATAATATACATCTAGAAAGGTGAAAACGTTGTAAGTGTACAGCTCAAAGAATTTTCATAAATGAATGTGTCTATGTAGCCAACAACTAAATTAAGAAAATGATGTTACATCCCAGAAATCCTCCCATGCCACAAAGGTACTTATTTTCTGATTATTAACACTACAGATTAACTTTATCTAAACAAATATTTTTTAAATCACTATTTTTTTTATTAAATTCTTTTATTGGTACATTGTAGGTATACAACACAATTACATTTCTCATTGGGAACTGTACCTTTACATAATGCTTCTTGGTTCTTATTTTCTCCCTTAAATCACTATTATAATGTTCCCTATCTGTAGAATCAAATGTGCTACTGAAATATCTTTAAGCATTTAAGAAATGCTCCACTTTGCCTGGGCTGCTCAGAAAACAGCCTTGGACATATGTTATACATGTAGCCTTATAGAAAATTATTGATTAAGTTGTTAGAAATTAGTAAATCAATAAGCTTCCAATATACACAGTTCCTATTAAGCACAACGTTTTAGGCCAATAGCAAAACATCTGGGGGAAAGGCAAATTTTATTATTGCTAATAGTGACTGTGGTTTTATCTACAAATAAAACATCTAGCTGGAAGCTGGAAATGTTTATCATCACTTGCCATCAACACCAATCAGTTTGTTAATACCATGTGAGCTTCCTTACCTGCCCAGTCCAGAAATTCAACACACTCCGTCTGGGAGTACCGAGCAGCAACATCTCGAGCTTTCTCTTCCCGGAAGTTCAAAGCTTCTATATCAACATCCAGCTCCACTAGTGCTTTCAAAGTTTCCAAACGACCCCAGGCCGCAGCGCAGTGTAAGAGTGTGTACCCTAACAAATAAAGGAAGATGGTCTGGTCAAATAGACTAGGGGTGATCCCCAACTTAGCATGGTTCAACATGATTTTTCAACTTTATAATTGTGCAACTGACAGGCATTAAGTCGAAACCATACTTGGAGTTTTGATCCTCAGCCTTTTCCAAGGCAAGCAATATGTGGTAAGTCTGGGCAGCAACAGGGAACCACAGCTTCCAGTGAGCCACACAATCACAAAGATAAACAATGGATACTCTCCAGTGTATGCTGTTGCTAAACTATGAATAGATTGGATATATTAGATGCATTTTCCACTTCTGGTATTTTATGAATCTATTTATGACCTCATCATAATTCAAGGCAAATCTTTACATTATTCTAGGCTATTTTATGCAGTAGATTATAATCACAATCAAATATTAAACAGTTACTATGGGCCAGCCACTAAGTGTGTCATATATAGCAAACTCATTTAGCTTTATAAACTGTATGGTATTAGAATTGTTATAATTCTCATTTTACAGGTAAGAAAACTAAAGTCCATCAGTTTTTAAAAACTCTCCCAAGAAACCCAGCCAATAATGATGGACACAAGATACCAACACAGGAAGCCTGAAGCCTGAGCCCTTTCCCAACATCAGCTGAGGGAGATGGCATGCTCCCCAGCAGTCGTCTATTTTGGACCAACTGAACCTATGATTTTAAGGAATTTTCATAGAACTCTCAAACTAGATTAATAGTAATACAACCATGAAAATTAACTACAACTGCGAATGCTTTGGTTTGAAAATTAATCATTTTAATTAAAGCTGAAATTAAGACGTACTAAATTAAAAACTAATTTCTTATACTTACTGAGGGGACTACCTTGGGGTAGAATTGTAAAGGTGAAAAATAAAGGATGCAGCTTTAAAATCGTTTCGTACTGATTCTGTAAAAGTTGAATCAAAGACCACTGTATTAACTTACTGTTTTGAGAGACCCCAGTTAAACTGGGATTCAAGACATCTAGCAACCCTACTCTAACAGGAAATGAAGAGGAGGTGGATGTAGGGGTTTACAGTGCACCTTTCACAGGATACTCTTTCACCTGGCGGGAGACCTGCCAGTGCCTTGTTGTGTGATCTGCAACTAGAAGTTCTCTCACACAGGAAGCCTGCAGGGTGGCGATGTCCTTGTGGCTCCTGTCTGATCCATGTCCAGTTTATGACTACCTGACCATCACCAGACAAAAGAGCCTGACGATGAGCACTGCTGCAGGGAAAACTCAGCCTTGAGTGGCCCCTAATTCTCCAAGTGGAAGGTGCAAATTCAATACACCACCACATTAGGAAACAAGTTCAAAGGTTTTCTGTTTTTGTTTTTGGTACCAGGGATCGAACTCCGGTCCTTGCGCTTGAGCAGCAGGCGACAAAACCACTGAGCTAAATCCCCAGCCAAGTTCAAAGGCTTTTATTTAGAGATCCTGAGGGTGTAATGAGTCAGGAGGGGCCCCCTCTTTCCCAAGTCATGCAAGGCAGGAGTAAAAAGGTAGAAAAAAGAAAAGTGTGACAACTAGCAGTATATATAAGAGAATATATATAGAATATATATATTCTATATATATATGAATAGGATGTGAATAACTTTAAATCTGTGGGCAAATGCCTCAACAGTCTGTTTTAAAAAGGAAGCAGTGGAAAAGTGAGGAGTCCAGTGTTCTAGGCAGAAGAGCTGCCTCCAAGATTTTATCTCTGGCCACCAGCTGGCCCCCTTCTGGTACAATGTAGATCTGGTGTCAAGGGTGACTAAGCTTTGTTTCTGGTGTGAGAAAATTAAACATATTCAAAATGGATGCTGGTACAAAATAAAATTATAACAATGCACCATACTTTCCCATGCGGATACATTTATGACTCACTTAACTGGCCAAAGCATGTACTAAGTACTACCACAAGAAAACGTGACCAAAACAATGAATTAGTAAGATGATCTACAGAGCACAAGACACCTTGTGTGCACTTCATTTAATCTTTCCAATAACCCGAAGAGATAGATATCATTACCTCCACCAGAGTATACAATGGAAAGTGCTGGTCACAGAGGCTGTACCTAGTGGGGGTTGGTTGGGTCAGTGAGGGTGTGGCCATCAAAAGGAAGTAGGATCCTTCTCTCAGGACCATGAGTTACTTCTTGTGAGAGGACTGTTACAAAAAGAGCAAGCCTGGCCCCTTAACCTGCCTTTCTGTCTGACCATGTGATCTCTTCTTCTTGCACATGCCCCTACCATGTGCCATCCAGTAAGAGGTCCTCACCAGAGCCCAGGTGGGCCAAAACCGGCACCATGCCTTTGGGTCTCTGGAACTGGAGTTGCAAGTGTCAGGTTTTCTGTCCCAGTGACAGGAAAGCTAACTAGTACATCCCTCCAAAAAAAAGTCCAGGGCCAGGGATTAAGCTCAGCGACACTGCACCTGCCTCACAAGTGCAAGGTCCTGAGTTTGATCCCTGGTACCAAAAAGAGAAAAAAGTCCACAACTTATTCTTTAAACAACTATACTTTTACTAGAGGGACTGAGAAAGTACACTAGAAAAGAGCAAGCAAGTGGCAACATCCATGCAGAGTGCAAAAACCAAGATAGAGCCGTAGAGAGCAAAGCACCCTGCATCTTCAAAACTGTCTCTTGCCTGGATCATCTTGGAGTCATGATGGACTTCTGATAGCGAAAGGTAAGCAGTAGTCCCCACTGCTGCTGCAGACTATACAGGAGACTCTCCAGCCATCACACTCCCCAAACTGAGTTTGGAGAGTTGCCCAAAATTTACAAAGCGGTACTGCAGGAGCCCACATGGTAAACCCTCCATGGCCTAAGCTTCTACACTTTGGCACCGTCTTGAAACTGGGGCTACTGTTACAGTACCTCCTGCCTAGAGGCTGGTATCCACACCATATCTCTATCCTGAGATTCCAGTGTTATTCCACTGTGTTCACACACAGGTGGCCACAGCAGCAGGACTTTTGCTACTCAGAGCAAGAGAACCCTGGAAAACCAAGACCCAGGCTTCCAAATTCATATGACAACCCCCGACTCACATACCAGGAAACAGGCGGGCTTGAGGAAGTTGACACATGGCTAGTGGTCTGCATGGTTGCAGCACAGAACTCAGGGCTCTGTTTGCTTTCCCCACCTAGCAACAAGTTCAGGGACACGCTTCTGCGTGAGCATTTGCCATGTCTCTAGGTACATGCACATGGAGGCTCAGGAACAAGTGCACCTCACCCGCCCACAGGCTCCAACCTGGCTGGAGAGAGCGGGCTGAGAGTACACAGAATACAGCCATTAAAGGCCATGGAGTGAATACAGCCCTGAGCCAGGCAACATAGCACGGACAGGGCCCGCCCAGCTGGAAAGGGAGAGCAGGACTCAGTGTTCACACACAACAGCCTGTTAAGTGGGTGTGGAAACACAACAGGTCCCAGCTGCAATCCACTTTCCCTCCCTCATATCTGACAGATTATAATACTACACGTTGTGAAAAGAAACTGTATCCATTTTGTCCCTTGAAGTGGATAAATTTTTTGACTCACTTCTCTTTTTATTTGTTTTTTTGGGGGGGTGGTTTGTGGTGTTCTTTCGATTTTTTTCTTGTAATTTCCTTTTTTTAAATTTTTTGTTACATCTAATAGTTTGTTTTACCTAATTCTATTTACTTTCCTTCATTCTTTAACTGGATTTTTATCTCACTTTTCTCTCCTCCTCATTTTACTTTCCTTTTTTTAATTTTAATTTTTCTTCAATTCTCCCTTTCCCCCACCTCCATTTTTATTATAATTACTATTAAACTTTATTAATTTTGGCCTTTTAGTTTATCTCTATTATTGCTGATTTCTTTTCTATTGTTAATGGTGATATTATTAATGGTGATTATAATGTTGACATAATGGTTACTGTATGTCAATTATTTTAATTGGTTTTTACTGTATGTTGATATCTGGTTTGTCTTTTTGCCATTACCATTACTTCAGTTTGTCTCCTCCCTGAGTGGTGGTGGGTATCTAGCCCTCAAAAAAAGACTGGATACTGGGCCGGGGATTTGGCTCAGTGGTGCTGCCACCTGCCTTGTAAGCACAAGGTACCGAGTTCAAACCCCGGTACCAAAAAAAAAAAAAAAAAAGATTGGATACTAAGACCCTCAAATAAAAATGAAAAAGATATCCATCCTAGTGGATGCACAAAGCTCTACAGAGAATCACAAGAAGAATGAAAAACAAGGTAATATGACTTTTCACCAGTAACTGATACAAGATATTGAAGTTGATGAAATGCCAACCAATTCAAAAGACTAATTGATAAAAGCATTAATGATTTCAAGGAGGACACAAATAAACAGCTTAATTAATTAAGGAAGAAAATGTAGGGTATTAAGGAAGAATACAACAAAGAGATAAAGATTCTGAAGAAAAGCCAATCAGAAATTCTGGAAATAAATAAATCAAATCAAAAACTTAGTGAAAACCAATAAACAGGACCAAGCAGAAGACAGAATTTCAGGGCTTGAAGGCTGAGGAATTATTACACACAGATACTAATAAAGAAAAAAAAGCAAAGTATGAACAAAACTTGCAGGAATTCTAGGACATAGTTAAAAGACCAAACTTTTTTTTTTTTTTTTTTTTTGAGGCAGGGTCTCACTATGTAGCCCAGGCTGGCCTTGAACTCATAGCAATCCTCCTGTCTCAGCCTCCCGAGTGCTGGGTAAAAGATCAAACTTAACAAATTTTCTATGTAGAAGAGGGTAATGTAATAGAAAATGTATTTAATGAAATGATTACAAAGAACTTTCCAAAGCTTTGGAAAGATATAGACATCCAGATTCAGGAGGCACTTAGAACCCCAAATAAGCATGACCAGAAAAGAAACTTGCTATGGCACATTTTAGTTAAAACGGCAAGTGTACAGAACAAAACAAATACTAGCAAGTTTATGGGGAAAAGGAAGCCTTCTACACTGTTGGTGGGAATGTAAACTAGTACAACTTCTATGGAAATTAGTGTGGAGATACCTCAAAAGAAAAAAAAACCAAAAATAAGAATTCTATTTGACTCAGTTATACCTCTTCTAGGTATCTTCCAAAAGAGTTAAAGATATATATTACAGTGATACACACATATTCATGTTTATAACAGCACAACTCATAATAGCTAAATTTTGGAACCAGCCTATCAGCCCACCAACAAATCAATAGATTTAAAAAATACACAAAATATACACAATGGAGTGCTATTTGCCCATAAAGATAAATTTGAGTCATTTGTAAGACCATAATGCTGTTAATTAATGATACTGAGGGCATGTTTCTTATATTATTACAAATGCATTAAACTAACTTTTGGGGAGGATTGAACCCAGGGTTTTTACACTAAGCTACATCTCCAGCCCCTTCTTATTTTTTATTTTGCAACAGGCTCTCATTAAAGTTACTCAGTTGCCCAGGCTCCCAGAGAGCTGCAATTACACATCTGGCTTTAAACTAGGGTTTTAATTTTAGTTGTATTCTGTAAGTGATCCTGTTGACACTTAAACATTCATAATTTCCATTGTCTCTCCTGTGACAAACACATGATTTAAAGTGTGTATTTAGGGCCGGGGATTTAGCTCAGTGCTTTCGCCACCTGCCTCGCAAGCACAAGGTCCAGAGTTCTATCCCTGGTACCAAAAAAAAAAAAAAAAAGCAAAAAGATAAAGTGTGTATTTAGCTGGGCATGGTGGTACACACCTTAATCTCCAAACTCAAACACTGAGGCAAGAGGACTGCAAGTCTGGAGGCCAGCCTGAGCTACATAGCAAGACCTTGTCTCAAATAAATAAATAAATTTAAAGTATGTATTTGTTTCCAAAATTAGAGAGTATTTTCAGTCATCCTTTTTTTACCTTTTCCTAATTTTATTTTGTGGTGGTCAGAGACAAAGACTGCATGCTACAAATTACTTGATATTTGTTGAGCTTTCCTTTACGGCTCAACATATGACCAAATTGTTAAAATGCTCCATATGACTGTGAAGAGAATTTATAGTTTTTATTTGCTGGAGATGACTGTTTTACTTTGTACCAGGACGATGTACCATATCTGCATGAAAAAAAACTAATTATTGAATTAAATAATAACTGCTAAAAACTAATAAATCTTCAAATGAAAGAAATCAATATTATTTTGTATATTTACTATATACCTATTTTCTATGTGCCAAGCACTGTGATATTTCTCTTCTTTAACCTTCCTGACACTCTATAAGGAAAATAAAAATATCATCTTCATTTTGCAAATCAAGAAACAAAGATGTTTTAAAAGGTTGGAAACAAGGTGTGGTGGTGCATGCCTGTGATCCCAGCACTCAGGAGGCTGAGACAGGAAGGTCACCATGAGTTCAAGACCAGCCTGGGCTACCTAGTGAGTTCAAGACTAGCATAACCATATAGCAAGAATGTCTCCAAAAAAAAAAAACCAGATTAGGTAACTTGCCAAATCACACAGTTAATTAACAGTAAAGTCTGTGTTCTTAAATACTATGCTATACAATAACAACATTGATATATTTATATGTATATATCATGCATACCTTCACTCAGACATATGTAAAGTATAAGACAGGCACATCCCAATTATCCAACCATAATGACAGTACATGGTATCATTAGATAGTGATTGATAATACTGATGAGAGATGAAAGACAAAATACCTCTGGCAGTTTTTTCATTCAGATTCACACCATATTTTGCCAAAGCTCTAATTACATCACTCTGCCCGGCCATGCAAGCTGCATACAACAAATTTCTCCCAACAATATCCTCTTCCAAGAGTAGCTGCATGGCATCCTTGTGATGAGGATTTTCAGGATCCTCAAAAATCTTCTGCAAACCTTCTACATCCCCTGTGAGAGCAGGTTTTGTAAGGGGGTTCTTGATGCCTGTTTCTTCTGGTTCTTGGGATTCTTCTTCTTCCTGTGAGAAAAATAGTGATTTTTCTGAACTCTCTGACTCTAGCTGTGCTTCTGGCTCCATTAATTCCACAAATACCTAAGACCAAAAAGAAAAGTTATAGAAATCTACTCAAACATATCCGTATGTATTTATTTATTTTATCAGACCACTGACAATATAGATGGGATGAAAATCTTTAACTACTTGAAAATCATAATGAAATAAGATACTTCAGCCAATAAAATTTACTGTGCGTAAGTTGCCTAAGTATATACTGAAATGCTAAATGCTTGATATAGACAGTAAATTCAACAGGAACAGAAGAAAAAGGTGAAAGTGAGCTAAATTCATTAGGAAAAGATTGAAAAAGAATGTTTAAGAGACTACCTGCCTAAACAAGGCTCCTTCTTAGAGAGGAGAAATACAAATGGGCCACTGGAGCCAAATTATGAAGACTTTTAAAAAATCAGGCACTGATATTTAGACAGAATCTGTTCTGTCAGTAATACTGAAAGCTTACTGAGCATTGTGTAGCTATTTATGTAAACCACAAAAGTGACAATCAAATTTACCTCCCGCCCTCAACAACTTACTATTTCAGGAAAGAAAATATGACAGGCATAAAAATGTATGGTGTAAGGAAGGTGACAAATGGTAGGTACCATGACCGATGAAATGCTATGGGAGTTTAGAAGAGACAAAAATCAACTCCAGCAGAATTAATCAAGTGACACTTAATAGCGCTCCCTTTCGCAGGATATGTCTCAAATTGGGAATGATTAATAGAAAAATACCATGGTCTCCTCATATATACAAGAATGTTGTGGTATCACTGTCCACAACAGCAAAACATCTTAAGGGGAAAACCAATGCCCAAGAAAAGGACCATAAACTGATATATTCATACAAAATGGTGGATAGCAGTTGAGATGAAGTGACATATCACGTGGTAAGAAAAGAAATGGGATAAGAGTGAAAAGAGAATTGTAATAGTCATTTTAAATTGGTAGAATGAGGGCCCGGGGATTTAGCTCAGTGGTGCCACCACCTGCCTCACAAGTACAAGGTCCTAAATTTGATCCCCAGTACGAAAAAAAAAGTCCACTTAAATTGGTAGAATGTTAGAATCTTCTCTAGCTACTGCACCCCTACATTAACATCTTTCTTCTACAAATATATATGTTATAAGATATTGACATTAGGAACTTTTTATTATAGATAATAGAAAAGCCAAATAAGATTGACTTGTATGTAGGGTTTTTTCCTCACATAACAAGAAATTTAAATATAAGAATTGTTCACCAGCTCAAAAATTTAGATCCAAGCTATTGTTATCATTCTATCCCATCATACTCTCCACAACACTGGGACCAAATATTATCTCTGAGGTTGTTGAATCCAATTCCTTCATCTTACAGAAGAAATATAGTGGAAACTTAAAATCTTTTTTTGGTGTTTGGCACATAACTCTCCACCCTCTTATACACACTCACACTTCTATGCATGCCTGTGCCTTCCTTAAAGCATTGTTAATTCTTTTTTAGAGAATTCCTCTCAAGGAAGATAAAATTAACTTCCCACTACAGAAGACAAAGAGGCAAGGTCCTCCTTCTCTATACCTCAGCACAAGCCTGGGGACAGGCACGCGACTGGGTTCAGCCAAACAATCTTTCAGTACCAGGGAACAAGGGATACAAGGCCAGGAAGGTCACTCATCACAGATGTTACGGTAGCGTGCTGCTCCAACTTCCTGCCATGAGAACATGCTACGGCTCTTGTGGTCTGTCCCTCCAGAGCTCCCTTGGTTCCTGTTCATTTCCAGCCTCCCAGTGATTACATGGCCCCGTTACAGAGCTCAGATGCAGAATAATAGTTGTCTTCCCCAAGGTCTAATCTCCTCTTCTTTGGGGATAAAACTCCACATTCTTTTCTTTTAACCAGGTTTTTTAAACCAATCTTTGCAATGGAATAGACTATTTCTTAGTCTTTCTTGAAACTTAATGCGGCCATAAGTGCAAGAAGTAAATAATAAGACACAGATAGATAGATATCTTTACTATATACAGTATAATCTACTGATTCTATTTTTTAAAGCCAAGTGCCACCTACCAAATCAATTTTATGACCCATTAAATGGGTTGCAACACACAACATGAAAATAAAAACATTAATTTTGAGAATTTACCATGGAGACCATACAGGAACTCAATGAGAAGGCCTCTAAGGGCACTGTGTTTATGTCTAATAGCTTTGGTGACTTTTGTCCCAATATAGCCAAGACAGTTTCAGTTACATCTGCTCCACTGGTATAATTCTTTTTTTTTTTTATTAGAACCTTTTATTCACCCAAAGCATTTACTACTTGGGAATACAAAAAGATTGTCAAGATGAGCCCGGTATTGGACAGAACACTAAACACAGATACAAAAATATGGTAAATATAACCTAAGAAGGTAGCAACAGGGTATGTTACACATAGAATATAAACAAAACAGACTTGAGGCATGTTATAGTGAGGATTCTGTTTGAATGACAAAGGCTAAGGCTGTTTATAATTCCCTTATTAGTCCCCTTAAAAAGGGTCTAGGGAAACTAGCCTGTGCCTCATTCCAAACCCACCATTTTTCCCTCTTCTGACCAGGTGAGGATAGTGCGTGTAGTGTACCTCTGATGGAGAGCAACAAAGCATCATCTCTGAAGCGGGGGACTAGAACTTCACCAGACACCAAAGCTGCCAGCACTTTGTTCTAGAATTTCCTAGCCTCCAGAATGCAAACATTTAACCTTCTATTGTTGGAGAGATTAAATAAAAGGGGGTGGGTTGTGGTATTGTGTTGCAAACATGCACCACCTTCCCACGAGGACTGTGATCATTAGGTAAAAAAATATGGAACGCTTCACGAATCTGCGTGTCATCCTTGTGCAGGGGCCATGCTAATCTTCTCTGTATCGTTCCAATTTTAGTATATGTGCTGCCAAAGCAAGCACTCCACTGGTATAATTCTTAATAGCATCTACTTTTCATTCTCAAAAGTGTCCATTAGTACTAGACATTTGGTCACACTATTAATAGCAGTTGTGATCTTCTGGAACATTTCTGCTAAGGCCATTCATCCAAACATTGAGAACAAAGGCAGGCTATGTTTGAAATGCCTTTCCTCACTGAACCTGCAGGGGCCCAGGCATGAGACCTTAAAGATGCTGAGAAACTCCTATTTGTGTTTCAGAAGTATTGCTGCTACTGGGCTTAGAATAGCTTTTTATCTCTTTCATTCCAGGTTCCCAAATCCTATTTAGGCCAACCTATAAAACCACCTTTTTCTTAAAACTCCCCTTAACTCCTCTCTTGAAATCACCTTGTTCCTCTAAACTCCAAAAGCCATGATATATAGTTTGTAGCATACAACTTGTCAAACATGGTATTATTTTATTTTTATTATCATTATTAATACATATAATTGTACAAGCCAATGGGATTACTCATGATATTTCCTGTGGATGGACATGGTATATCATGTCCATCCACCTTTCTACTCTCAGCCAGGTGTATTATATTATTTTCTAATTATCTGAAGTTTGTAAGACATCTACCCAGATTGCTGGGGCAAGGGACAAGCTTTATGTTTCTTTTGAGCCACTTTCAGACCTATCACAATTTTGTAATTTATCCTGCTTTTGAAAACAGTTTCAAGAGATGCCCAGGATCTCTTTGTTTGGTACCAGGGATCGAACTCACGACCCTGCTCTTCAAGGCAGGCGGTGCAGTGCCACTGAGCTAAATCCCTGGCCCGAAAGTCAGCATTTTCATTGAAAAGAAAGTTTTGTGCTAATATCTGTCTTTTCTTTGTAAGAATCTTTTTTGTCCATATCTTGTACTCTGAGTAACGACTTTGAAGATAATGATACAAAGTATATTAATTATTGTTATTCTTATTTTGTTATGAAATTTTGTTTTATTTTTACATAAAGTAAAAAAGAAAATATTTAGCACAAAACATACTAACATATGAAAAATGGGCATAACTAAATGAACCATTATTTTACCGACTGCTGTACTCCTTTACAAAATCTACCTCATTTCCCACCATTTTAAATGTTACAAAATCAGGCATGAGTAAAAGATACATTCAAAGTATAAGATAAATGGCAACCTATTCGGGATCCCTCCTATCTCTCAGGAGCTATTCGTATTCTCCATTCTTATTATTATTCCTAATCTCAATAAATTTTCCTACTCTTAAAAAAAAAGTATAAGATAAGCCAGGCATGGTGGTACGCACCCATAGTTCCAGCTGCTGAGGAGGCTGAGACAGGAGGATCACCTGAGTCCAGGAGTTCAGAGCCAACCTGGGCAACATAGTGAGACCAAGTCTCTTTAAAAAATCAAGTTAAAAAAAAAACAACAAGTTTAACACAGGTCAATAGGTTTTAATGTTTCACAGTATGAAAAAGTTTATCGATGTGGCTTCAGGTTCCGCATTGCAATTAACTTTAATAAACAAGTTTTGTCAAGTTTTCAAGTTTTGGAGCAGTCACCAAAAAAATGTTCAACTATCAAAAAATGCTATTAAAATACTCCCTTTCTCAATTATAGATATTATATATTATATTATAATTTTATATATTTATTATATTAGGTATATTTTTAACTCAAAGAACATATTGCAACAAACTGACTGCAGAAGCAAACATGTGAATTTATCTCTTTTAAGTCAGAAATTAACGACATTTGGAAAAATGTAAAACAATGCCATTTTCTAATTTTTTTGCTTGAGAAAAATTATGTCATGAGAAATAATGTAATTCGTGTTAACAGGTGTTTATTTTTGTTATTTTTAAAGGAATATTAAACATTTTTAGATTGCTAGTTTAATTCCTAATTCTGTCTAATACTAAAGCTCCTTGAGATCACTAATACTTGAGAGCGTAACGGAGTCCTAAGGCCCCTGCTTTAGGACGCACTCGAGACCGAGATCAGCAGTCTTGCCTTCGGTTAAGAGCTGTAGCAGGGCCAGGAGGCTCTGTAGGAGGGAAGACTGTTGTGGCAAACACTCCAGCCAGGCCTGAAGGGAAGTCACAGCAGGAGCCAGTGCAACTGAGTGGGCCAGGAAGGCTCACTGGGTCCTGAACAAACTTGTTCAAAGGCACATGAGCCACAGGTCATAACCACAAATGCTGTACGGCCAAGGGGCACCCACTGGTACCAGGAATGTTGCCCCAGAGCACAGATGGCAAAGAGAACCAAACATTGCCCCATAATTGATTTCATGAGCCGTCCACATCCATCCATATACCCAGGGCACCATCTCAAGGAGGGAGTCAGAGAAGTTAGCTAAGAACCGCAGCATCTTTATATGAGAGAAATCAAACACTAGCTGAAGAAATAAGCTACTTATTAATGTGTTAATTTAGTAGTCATTAAATTAATTTTCTCTGCCCAGACAAATAATATCACGAAATAAAATTGTAACCCTGCTAATACGACACAAGTTTCACGGAGAACATGAGGATGGGAAGGAGAGAGGGAAGGCTGGAGCTATGAAGGGAGCATGGTATAGTTTTAATCCTGTCTCATTATTTATTATATGACTTTTCTGAAATGAGGACACAACCTGTCCTGCCTTACTAAGTGACTGTGGGAAAACAAGTCTAGAGCCTTTTAACTATCCAGTGTGAACACTTCTGAAGCTGCTGGGGCAAAAGTAATAAAAGAATCATATAGGTCAAGGTCCCTGTCCCAAAGGCCTACTGGAAAAGATACTGTAAATCAGCAATAACAAGTGAGATATGGGATATATGATGGTAAGCAATGTTTTGAGAGTAAAGACATCTACATCAGACTCAAGGTGGGGAGGTCCCACAACGGCTTCCCAGGAGAGGTGACACTTTTGATATCCAAGAGTGGAAGGAGTCTGTTTATTGTGGTACTAAGAAGGCACTGAGCTACAGCCCCAGCCCCCAGCCCCTTTTTGACAGGGTCTTGCTAAATTGCTAAATTGCCCAGGCTGGATTTGAACTCGGATCCTCCTGCCTCAGCCTCCCAGGCAAAGTGGAAGTCATCTAAAAAGGACAATCCAAGCAACGAGAAGCGCATAAACAACGGGCAAGAAGGCGGATTGAGGAAGCAGATCCTGAAGGGTCTTTTAAATCAATTCTTGTTTTTTTATTTGTTTTGTTTTGTTTTTTTCTTTTGGTACGAGCGATCGAACTCGGGTCCTTGCGCTTGCGCAGCAGGCCGCGAAACCACTGAGCTAAATCCCAGGTCCTATGCTTTTTTTTTCAAATGTGGTCTCTTAAGGATGTTAGGTTCCAGCCCCAGGAGACTCTTCACCTCCCATCCCTGCAGCTCTGGGCGCCCAGCTTGCACAAAGGGAAGGCCTGTGGAGCAGGACACAGTGAGAGTCCTGCTGCGCGAAAGCGGAGGTCTCGCAGCGAGGGCGTTGACCACTCCTGGGCTCGGGAGTTTAGGGTCCCTCGAGGCCGCCCGCGGGGTACAGACGGTGTGCAAAGCTCTCGTCGGACCCAGAAGCTAAGGACACCGCGGTTGAAACCCATGCCCTCCGAATCCTGCCCAAGCAGCCCGGAGAGCAGATGCCCGTCTGCCCGGTCCCAACCCACCCAGCGCCCACCCCGGGCCTCGGCCCCACGACCCAGACTCACCGCTCGCTGGGACCCGCTTCCGCGGTTACCATGGTGACCCCGGAGCGGCGGCCCCGCCCCCGGCGCAGAGGTTCCGGCTGCGCGCGAAGGTCAAGGCTGCCGAGAGGCGGTGCGCAGCAGCTGAAAACCGAGAGGAATTCATCAAAATGATTGAAATCAGTGTGTTCGGATGGTGACATGAGGGTTTTTTCTTCATTTTGTAAATTTGCCGTAATATACTTACTTTACAATTTTTAAAAGTGTAAAAATAAGGTATCCACGTTGCTTGGCGGCACGTTAGTCTTATCTTTGGCCTTTAAATGGAAGCATTTTCTGGAATATGAGGATGCATTCTAAAATCTAAGAACGATTGTAATTATAACAGTCGGCTTGGTTTTCTGGTTGTTGGAGATCTTTCTCCTGTGGTTATGGTCATTGTCACCTACAAGGAACATTTCCTGACCCCTCACAAGTGCCAACTAGATAAGAACAGAGAGCATTTGGAAATTAGATCTCTCTTGATTCAAGAATCTAAGATCCACTGCACAACTGGGGGAGAGGGAAGAACTAAAGTATAAAGAAACCAGCAGAGAAATGCTGATTGCCCTGTGAATCATATAAATGTTCATAAGGATCACAAACTGAAGATCAGAAAGTTTTGTGGTTGTATTGGTCAGTTTTAACATTGCTGGGAAAAGATGCCTGACATACACAAATTGAAGGAGGAAATAATTGTTTGGCTCAGGGTTTCAGAGGGCTCAGTCCATGGTTAGGAGCACCAATGCAGAAGCATCAAGGCAGGAGGGCACAATGGAGCAAAGCTGCTCACTTCACAGTGGAAGGGAAGCAGAGCACAGGGGAGGCGCATCAGTGACAGATACCCTCCAATGTATAATCGTTACAAGGATTATACCAAATATGTCTAGGGTGTGTTGAAACATTCCTTCAACATATTGTGTGAGGAAGTTTGCGACATATTGTTGGAATATGTATATTCCAATTATACAGTCAGGAACTGGAGAAATGACTTAGATGGACCTGCAGACCCATTGGACTTTCTGTGAGCCAGATCTTGGACACTATTCTATTTATTGACACTTATCTTCTCCCACTCTAACAGGAGACCTCTGGTGTTGCTTCAAATCTGAGGGCATCAGTGTCAATTTAAACCCTAATTCCAAACATCTTAGAAAGTTTCAGCATTTCCACTTCCTCAAGGTGTGTTTACTGAATAAATTACTTTTAAATCTCCTGAAAAAGGACTGGGGAAATCATGTCTCTACAGAGTTGTCATGGTGTTCCAGGTCCTTCCTTCTAGGGATAGGCCTCTCCATCCATCAGAAGGCTCTGGATTCACAAATGGCTCGGGTCTAGAAGCAGCAAGGAATTCTGGCATTTTATTGGAATCACTCTTAGCCTCCTGATCAGCCATACTTAATTTATTTTGTTTATACAGTTCAGCTGCTGTTTTTTTTGTAACTAGGATTGCTATGTTCCATTAGCCATTTCTAGAGCTCTCTATAGAGTCCCCCTCTTCTGTTTTGACCTTCCTACTCATTCAGTAAATGCACCTTCCTGGCTTCTGAGGATTATATGATGCCACCATCATCTATTGGGGAGGGAGGAGGAGGTGGTCCTATTATCCCCATTGCAATTAGTAAATGCAGTTCTGTAACAAGATCTCCGACCATCAAACCAGGTCTACAGAGGAGAGCCACCACAGAACCTATTAGTGATTCTGGTACCCTTTCAACAACACCTTCCTTATTACCTCAGTAAATGGACCATCCTGTGTGGTCTAATGGATGTTCTGGCCATATGTAGTACATGCACTTTAGCATGCTTACTTCTTTGAGCATTCTAATCCCTTCTTCTATTGCCTTGCATAGTAATCCTGGCATCCATTTCATATGGCCACCACTTTCCCACGCTTATAGGAGCCATTCGAGTGGCATGTCTGCACTAATTTTCATGCAAGCTGTTAAATCCTGAATCCCAGGAAACTGTTCCTAGATTAATTAAATCCCCCTTATTCAACTTTATATTCTTCCCTCCTCTTTGATCCAGCATCCTCAGAATTCAGTGCCATGTGAATTCTTCCAGGTCCTCAGCTCTTTGGGGATATAATCCCTATTACAGATTTAATTCTTTCTCCCTAACAATTCATATCCTAAAATGTTAACCCTTAGTACCTTGACTGTATGTAGAGAAAGGGAAGTCATTAGGGTGAGCCCTAATTCAATATAAGATGTCCTTGCAAGATGAAGAAATTTAGGCAAAGACACAATCAGAGAGATGATGTGGAGACAGGAAGAAGGTAGCCATCCATGGCCCTGGGATAGACACTTCCCATGCAGCCTCCTTGAAAGAACCAACCCTGCTGAAACTGGGATCTGGGACTCCTAGCCTCCAGAACTGTGAGAAAATTAGTTTCAGTTGTTTAAGCCTCAGCCATTTCAACTCCAGCAAACAATACTTTCCCTTTCCTCCATTGTCAGACACAAGTTATGTTAAGTTGTGACTTAATTCTCGTTAATTGTCTAGTGGCAAAAAGGAGGGAAGATGGGGCTGATCTGGGAGGACTCGTGTCAGGCAGTGGAGAGGCCTCTATATCTTCAATCAAAGAAAGGGGCACTATCCCGAAGGAGAAGCAGGCCACTTTCTAGCCTCAGAGTTCAGGGAACTTTGGGAATTGAAGACTATGGAGTGCACGAGCCCAAATGTCTGCAGCCTATATGTTAAGGTCTTGTTCTTTCCCAACCAACACCTTACTCTTAGCATTACAGACTTGCTGATATTCAGAATTTAATCTTCTTTGAGACTCTGCTATACTTGTACTTAAGTAATGGACCTGATCCTCAGCTTTTCCCATCCTCTACTTGCAGAAAATCAGTCTGTTATTCATTTATTTATTTACCAAAGATGTACTTTGGTTTTCATGCTTAGTATTTAATTGCCAAATTAATCATTCTCAACCTTTCAATAGATTTCTTCAAAGTTTCAAATGATCATACACGTAGCATCACCCCATCCATGTGTCTTCTTTATATCTCAAACACCTAATACATTGCACCCACTGGAGTATTTCTTCCTACCAGAGTATACAGTTCACTAATAATGAACATTGTAACAATTGCAATCCAGTTGTGCCAGGAAATGTCTGTGTTGTTTTTGCCACCAATAATGATAGTCTCTTTGTTAGCCTGGAAACAGGTAAATCCAACATGAAAATCCCTTTATCGTGACTGTTGTCTTAACCACTCCTGATGCCAAGTGTCACAGTGGGGCTCCCCAGGAAGCATATTCTGAGATGGAGTTTAATATGCAGAAAATTGTTAGTGCTCATGGAATCAACAACTGTGAGAAGGGCCAGAAATAGCCAAAGGGAAAAGTTTGGCTCCAATGTAGTCTCAGCAGAGGCTTCAGAGGCCCCTCTGAGCTGGAAAGCACTTCAGATCTGTTCCAAGTGAGACAAGAGGACTGTGCCTTTATCTTTTCTTTTTGCAGTACTGGGGATTGCATTCCTCCAGGAATGAGGATGTCTAGGTAGCTCATTATAGCACTAACTTTATGCCACCAATTTGACAGGCACTTAAGTTTATTTATTTTTCAATATTCTGGAATTGTTTTTTTCTCTCTTTGACTAAATTTTGTTGTAAAATTGTTAAAGACATTTAAATAAAGTGGCCTTAATTTTATTAAAATAAAAATGTTTTAACAGATAATTTTACTTAAATAAAAATAGATTTTCCTTATGATTTTTAATAAAAGAAATATAAATACTTTCAAAGAAATACTGCTCCCATCCCTAACCTTTCTACCCTCATTCCTCCATTCCCCTACATATAATCATTTTTATTAATTCTTCATTTAGTTTTCCATTTTAAAATATGTAAATAAAAATTTTAAATATAAGTAAATACATACATATTCACATATTTCTAGGCCTTTCTTAAACAAAGTTAGCTATAAACTATGTAAGTTATACTATAAATGCTTCACCTGGCACTACAGTTTCAATGTGGAATGTCCCCCAAAAGTCCACATATTAAAATCCTGTTCCCTGGGAGGAGCTACAGTACTGGGAGGTGTTGGAGCCTTTGGCAGGTGGGGCTTTTGGGAGGTCCTTAGATCACTGGCGTCACACCCCTGAAGGGGATTTTTTGATTACCTGCTTGTGCAGCCTTTCCCTTTGCCTACTGGCCATAAAGTGAGCAGTTTTGTTGCACCACAGACTCCTGCCATGATGTGCTGCTTCGCCACAGGCTCAAAAACAATGGGGCCAATTGACTATGGACTGGAAGCTCCAAAACTGTAAGCCAAAATAAAACTTTTCTCTTTTAAGTGAATTATTCCAAGCATTTCATTCTAGTGATGAAAAGTTGACTAAACACTTAATTTTAATCACTTAACCATATACCTGAAGAGTATGCTATAAGAGTATTAAGAGGGGCCAGGGATTTAGCTCAGTGCTGCCGCCGCCAGCCTTGCGGCAAAAAAAAAAAAAAAAGTACTAAGGGATCATCCTCACTTCTTTTTATAGCTGCATAGTCTTCATTATATGTGTAGCCCATAGTTTATTTTATCAGTTTCCTATTGAGAGGATTTTTTGCTCTTACAGAGAATCTCACAGTGATTCACTGATGCATAACTTTTTAATTTTATTTTTATTTTTTTAATTTTTGCAAGTGTTCCCTTGGGATAACAGAATTGCTAGGTTTAAAAAAACACAGAATTACTAGATGCAGATGTAATTTTACTAGATCTTGCCAAACCGCCTTCCATAGAAGCTTTATTATTTTTGTACACACGCCAACCACAAATGAAAGTGCCTTCCTGCCTACAGGGAACAAAGCAGGTTTTTCAAGTTTTTATTTTTGCCTACATGATAGGTGAGAAATGTGACTCAATATTGCTATAATTTATGTTTATCTTATTATGAGGAAGATTGAATATTTTTTCAAATGATTAAGAGTATTTTATTTTTCTGGGAATTGGCTGATTATTTATTTCGCCCACTGAATATGTTTTTCTCCATTTTTGGAGCCATTTATATTACATTATGAACCCTTTATGATAGATAGAGAGATGATAGATAAAATATTTTTCTAATTATTATTTGCTTTTTACTTCATTTATCTCTTTCCCATGGAAAAGTTTTTATGCAGTCAAATTTACCAGTCTTTTTCTTCTGGTCATTGAGTCATGGTCAGGTAAATGTTTCTCCATTCTTAAGAAATATATGCAAGTTTTTACACTATTTTTACGCTATTGTTATTTATATTTAGATTCTTGATGATACATGTGATTATTGTAGGCCATAAAGAC